ACCCATGTAAAATTTCCCTACATCTAAGGCATAGCTTTTAGTTCGTAATGGGAACTTTTGAAGACAACAAAATACGAATTTGTTTTGAATTTTTCGTGAAGCGGTTTTCCAGAATGAGTTGAAGAAATTTGAAATCTAGATATGCTTAGATTTTCAGAATTAGTGCAGGAGTACAGTATTTGCCAAGAATCGCATAAGCAAATTGCTTGTTGTATGTAAGTAAGGCGCTCATTATTTCGATCTAATCTTCTTTTGGAAGGCATCTACACAACTATGAAAAAGTGTGAACGTCGCGCCGTCAAAGTTAAAAGAACGATGGTTTTGCACAAGGTCATTCTCCTAAATTGATGCAGAGGAAAAAAATCTCAATAGAATTCACAGAAATGTGTAAGAATGAAGTAAGTGGCATTTCTTTAGCGACAGCTTGCACTGGTACTAATGCTGCGGTAAGCTTCTCCTTCTACATATAATCTTCTATTTCCACGCGACATCTTTTTACCTTCGCTAGTTCATGGATGCGTTACATCATGAGATAACATTTGTAATGCTGCTGGTTTTCAATCTCACACGTTATTGAAGAAGAAGGGTCGGATATTTCGCTTGTGCTGCCAACAATGAGGTTCACTACCGGTTTGACTGCATCACAGAGATTCAAAAACAAACTACTAACGAATCTTGTTACTGTTGGTAAACGCTAATAACTGATTACGCTGTAACTATGCGGTTGATATTTTCGTCATTTTGCCACAGAAGAGCGAGGAAATGCGGTACGTGTATCCATAAAACACTTTACTTCACACAGCGTAAACGCGTCTTCACTTGATACTCGCCAGATTGATAATCATTTTTACATTCTAAAAGAAGTGCTGTTAAAGAAGAATCAGCATTTTCCATATAGTCAATTTGAATTAGCGATTATCAGGTTGAATGTGGAGTCATTTATCTTGAGTATGATGTGCCTAGGTGGTAGAATGAAATTAGTGCATGTAATTGAAGCTTAAGCTTATTTCAGAGGAGAAATTGCTGTTTACGCTGACTTTTAGTCCCTGGAGAGCGTTTAATAGTTATGTTGTTGATTGGATAACTTAACAAGCAATTTTTCTGTCATTTTTAATCTTATGCTTTAAATAACTGCTAATTTATAGAGCAGATGATTGTGATGATTAGTATTTTTCTCCGACTTTTGAGTTGTTAATAAGATCTGTAGCATAATCTCATTGCATTAATTTCACGACTTCGGGATGTATGACCATCTATGTTCTTAACTTCAGTTCTGCAGCGAATTCTCACTTGAATACCATTTGCTTCAGCTTTAGCAACACGTTTATTCCATCTCGACTTGCCAAATTTACACTATACTCTGTGCTCATTAGCGATGTCCTTGACGCTATGAACGTATTCCATCTCTTCTCCTTTGCACTGCTTTACTAATGTATCGAAAATTGCCGGAAAGAATTTCATTGTCTTCTTAACCTCATATTGTTTCCCGTTAGTGATATTCTCATCTATACTTCGAGCGTATAACTTCATGGACTGGCGAAAAAGATGAATAGAAAATCTAAAGTTATACTATTAATAATAGCCAATCTGCATAAAACTAACAGTATGTAATAATAGTCTGGTACGTCATAATTAGATTCTGTCGAAGTTCTTTGTCAATCTGCTTATCTGCGACTCGTCACTTCTATAATTTTCCGTGTTCCATACGTACTTTTACTAAACTAAAACCGAAAATTGTGAATTTTTATGATATTGATTGATCATAGGAATGCTATTTTGAAAGCGAGTACGATATAATGAGCGAAGAGTAGTTATTTGGATAGTTACTCCTGTACGACATGGCTATCGTCACCATATTTTTTAATGCTAGATAATGGAAATTTGAGAAAGTAGTCCATTCTAGTCTTTTTTTCTCTCAGGTTCTTCTGTCTTATTCTAGTTTTCATCATCTTTAACGAATTCCTAATTTTCGTAATTCCGCAGATTAGGCAGCATGCAATCGCTTGTGTCGAGTCTTTCTAGCTCCGAATCAACTGCACGCGCGGTTCATGCTCCGCCTCCTCGCGGCACTGGCTTGCTTTGCCCTAAACCACAGCAAGCGCCCAATATTCCTTCCGTCCTCCAACTGGTCCCATAATGACGTCATTATTGTGATCGCTTCCTTGGCAGTTCCAGCAGAACGGTTGTATCCTGTTCGCACCGTCCGCTTTTGCTATGTGGATGGTCGTAACCGAGGATGTAGCCGGTCGCGTTCACTTCGAGTACAGAGAGCTGTTGGGGTCGTCGTGTCGAAAGTGGTTCGATCGTCCGTCTATAACGACGCGAACTCGACATCTTTCCCGAGGATGTCCATCGTTTCCAAATCCAGCTCATCTAACTGCTTATCTTCCATCGCCTCTCCTTTCGAAAAATTACGAATATGAACGGTACGATAATGTGACACCGGAACCACAATATCTTAATCCTTACCAGCTATTTTATGAGCCTGCACATTTGTTGCCAGGATCATCATCTTCTGAATATCGGACACCATCACCTTATCGAACAGCTTGCCATATAAATGTGCCAGTAATGGAGCGTTCCGTCTACTATTACTCTCAAGATGATGACTCGCAGTTATCTGATGACAAGGGATCAAATGAAGAACATAGTTTAGTACCTGTTTCATGTGGAGAACATGTCTTCTCTTTTGTGCAAGGATTACATGGAAAATATCCTGATCTTGATGTCGAAGTGACCTCTCAGACGGCTTCCGTGAGTTGTGCCCCGGCCAGGAAAGAATATCCAAGAACACCCGTAAGGAAGCAGAAAGAAATTGTTAATCATGAGGATGTCACTAGTAATGCCTGCTCTAATTCTAATCTTTGCTCATCAAAATTCTTCAAAGCGCAACCAAAGGATTTGCGTTTCAGTTGGAGAAGAAAACTATCAGGTGACCGATGTATGTTTTTTGAGTATTCCAACTTTTCTCTATTATTCATTTTGAATCGGCTGTTTATGGAGCAATAGACGAACATTCCATAGTGGTGTCAGTGGCACTTACGCTCAAGTGCTCTACGCGCGCACAAATTTGTGCGAATGAGCGAACAGTACAGCTGAAATGGAAACGATTGAATTTTTTGACCACAATTTTTTATTGCTTTGTGCGCTGAAATTAATTTAAACAGGACAGTATGGAATTAGTTTGGTGCTGATTAGATCTTTCAATCAATTCTTCCCGGAGACTCCAAATGGTCAAAAAAGATCAACACTTGAAGTTTATCAAATCACTCTTTAAGCAACTCATCAACACTTGAAATTTATCAAATCACTCTTTGAGCAACTCCTGAGGGCACTCGTGCCTATCGTTGGCATCGATTTCACTGATGAGTCTTCAATACCGGCAGTGGCTTTTGACAACGTGTGATCAATTCTCACAACATCATTAAACAGCAGCGCCAAATTTCTCCTTAGCTATTTCTTCAGTTATTTGCATTTATTGACGAGTAGTTGCTATAAATCCTCTCGTAAGCTTGTATAAGTAGTTTCTTAAACTAAGAGAAGATGAGATGTTATGAATTATCGGTTAGTAACAACTCTTCTTATGGGTACGTGAAAGCAAGTATTCATTAGCAAATGATGAAATCAAGTTCTTCGCATGCTTGCATATAGACCGGAGCCTCCGCTGAAGACAGCAGGACTAGCGGGGTAAACGGCTGCATGTCATCGACAAACATTATTCAGTCGCTCAGTGTATAGCGAGCACGATTGGACCTGGGACTACATGCGATCATGCTTCAGGGATCTCAATGCTTTGCTCAAACAAACAAGCTTGTGCTTTCTCAAATAGACTATGTTCCTATCATGTTAAGTGTTTACTGAAAGGATCTTTTGAACTCTAATCTTGCAGTGATGAAGTTTTGAAATGATTTTGAGTACAAGATGAGGCCACACTTCCAAGTTACATGAATCTCATAAGGCATTTTGTTGTAAATAAAAATAAGATAGAAGGCATGTCGAGGTTTGAGCAGTGTAAAGTGGACAATTTCGATATTCGTAGTCATGAGACAAGAAGTCATACGTTTGGAGGGATTCGTTCAACGAGTGATCACCGCCTTACAATCTTAAAGTCAATGTCATTGCTATAGTTGTATGCTTAAGTAGCCAATCTTAATTTTATCTTAACTATTTATGTCATGACGTTGCAGCAGCGGCGAAGAATCCACTTGCACCTCCTGCTAATACATCGTACGCGTTGTCGTCGACGAATATCGGAAATTCGCTTCCGGCAACTCATGCACCGGTGTCTGGTGGGGTTACGCCAGTTGGAACTATGGTGCACGCGGAGAAGTTCTCTACAACAACAACACCAACCAGTTTCTTCTCACGCAAAGATAAGAAAAAGAAGGGCAAACGGCCTCGAATCCGAAAAGAGGACATCAGCAATCCAACGAACTTTCAGTGAGTTTTGTTTGCATTACCGTCTGTTGGAGGCGTTAACTCAAGTCGTACTCATTTCAACACTTCCTCAAAAGAACCGGCAAATGAGAAGTGATTCAAACAAGTTCTTCCGCTTTACTCCTGGTTCTTCTGAACAGCAAAGGAAGTTTCCAATATCAATGCGCTTTTCTGCGTGTTTGCTCAGCGGATTACGGTCTCTCCGCGCACCAGGCTTGCTTGAAAATTGATGTTCATAGGGAGAGATGAAAATGGTTTTTTGAGAAAGCTTTAAGCAACGAACTGCTGAGTTATCCTAGAGTTTTCTCCTAGTCCTCCTCTTATGCCTCTCTAAAGCTTCTAATAAGTTTTGAAGTTTTGAAAACTTAGTAGTTCCTTCAGGCACAAGGCTCACGTTGGTTGGGATCAAGACAATGGATTCTCCAATAATATGTGCGATTCAGAGCCTATGGATGAAAGCATAAAGTATGTTTTTGCTGTAACTGCAAGCGTTTTAGGATGCTTTTCTATATTTTTTTTT